TACTTCAGTCTGTGTGCATTGAATTTATTTAATACACGAGTTTCACAATTTGAGTTGAATTACTGAAATAAATGAACTTTTCCATGACATTCTAATTTATTGAGATGCACCTGTACATGAAAATTGTCTAGTATTTAAATGGAAATGATTGAATGATTTTAGTAACTGAACATTGGCTAAAGAACGATTACGTCAATATAATTAGTGATTTGAAACGTGGGTGGAGGGATTGTATTGCTTTGCACACTGAGGAAGGCTTTGAGCTGAAACATTTGTGTCTTTTCCCATTAACGATGAATGTAAAAAAAACTAAAATATACTAGGTATTTTACTTCTTGCAATCAATCTACTCAGCCACAATAGCAATTTAGTTGAATTGACATTTTCCACTTAATTATAATTTTACCAAAAACTTCCTGCAAAACGTCTCAGGTTACATATGTAACCATGGTTCCCTGAGTAGGGAACGAGACACTGCGTCCTCTAGGGGTCGCTATGGAGAAACCTAGAGGATGCAGTTCGAAGTTCCCATGAAAGGGAACATACACATCTAGTGTTTTCTGTGTTATTTCTGTATCCTCATCTGAAGTTACTCTGGTGTAAATGCACTTATAAGAGTGTTTTTGGCTGCTGTTGCTATGGTGACGCTCAAGCAGGACTATGGGCCATCCGACTGCCACTGTGTTTGTTGGAATTCGGGGAGGGAAACAGAAGGATGGGATCTCCTGAAACCGCTTTAAGAGAATAGCAACAACATTATCGTCAAAATACATTTCTTTAAATACTAATTTAAATGCAATAAACATAATAAGGGATAGTGTCATATAGCATCAAAAATTACAGCACAAAAATTTACAAAATGCATGTACATTTCATCTTAACTTGGGCTGTAATGGTGAAACAAGGTTATGGATCTTAACGGCAGGGGAGTAAACATTACAAAGACAATGGACATATACAATATGGTAAAAACAGTGTAATAATTTGGACTATCATGAAGACTGTGGTATGGTAAAAACAGTGTTATAATTTCAAGACTGTGGAAAGACGACAGTTATGAGGGTGTCAGATCACAGGAATTTTGCATGATTTTTAAATGGTAGTTGTTTGCATTGGGGAAGGGGAGGGGTGCAGGAGTGCCAACAAGAGGAAAAGTGATTTTACCAGGCCACCGAGAATGAAGAAGACCATGAAAAGGCGTCCAAGAGTAGTTCTTGCATAGACGTCTCCATATCCCACCGTGGACATAGTGACCATTAATAAGTACACACATTCCCAATATGAGAGCGGTTGAGAGTTTTGGAAGTTTTCCCATGGATCCCCTGAGTTTTCCACCTGCCGCAGGAAGGAGAGCAAAGAGTGAATTACTGACAGATCTAAACACGATCCTCTACAGCCATCTACTGTCCAGAAAATCACAAGGATGAATTGTGACAGGAACCAAACTGAGGATTTAGTAGCGATCAGAGTCTCTGCTGCCATCTAGTGGCACAGATGTCCTCTGGCGCTTCCTGATAAAAACAAAACAAAACAAAAAAAAAAACACGAAAAAAGAACCACAAAACACCAGATCTTTAGATGAACTACAACACAAACCACATATGCCACAAAGGGACAGACGTGTTCCTCCCACGAATCTGCATGTGCACTCCTCTCTGTGTCATTTCTCCAGGGGCATGGGGAGAGAGGGGGGGGCGTGTGTGTGTTTTTTCACTCACCAGATGAATGAATCCTGCAGCAGTGAGCCATGTGCTTATGAAGATGGAACACAGGTTCACCAGCTTGATGGAATTACTGTGAGAGACGAGAGTTACATCACACCTCTCAAAGTGAAACGCATCACACTGACGTACAGATCAGTCAGTCATCTATTGAGCCCAACACACACACGATCGCTTTGCCTTGACGCTACTCGCTGGGAGTGAACACACAGGTTATCAGCAAACAAATCAGAAGATAGTGATTTTGCACCACCTCAAATCACCACTCTCACAAAAGTACAAATCATTTTCGATCACTGCAAATTACCGTCAATGTGAATGCCCCTTCTTCAGCAGCCAATGAGAGAAAATACAGTGGTGCAAATGTAACGCCCTGTTGACAGCTGTGTCAGTTCGGTGTGATATATCTTAGCAATTTCCCCCAACTGAAAAACAAGATGGCAGCTAAAATAAATAAAAACGTCCAGCAGTTTTATAACCACTGAGTTGGGTGCTGACTGCTTTTTCTCCAATTCCTTTCGGATTCATTGACATTTACGAAATACCACTGCGGTGTTAGGAAGCACTCATCTGTCGTGTGTGACAGCCTGGCGGAGGAGGAATCAATCAGAGGCCTGTCTTCACACTCCTGCATTCATCAGGCTGTTCTCTTACCTACAGCACACTAAATGCACACGTAAAAAACATTCTGCTCAGCTACGAGCCCTGCAGACTTCTGGGTCAAAGTCACAGAGGTGTGTGGTAAGCGATGGAAGGGACACCGGAGACTCCTAAGGAGCTGTAGAGACTGTGTGTGTTGATGCCAGTGGAGTGGAGCTTTTGAAACTGAGAGTGAGAGAGGCGCGTGATATGTTGTTGGACTTACCTTGTTTTTAAGATATTCAAAAACTGTAAAATTTCTGAGAACTGTATCAATCTCAAGGCTCTTAGAAACCTCAGACCTGCAAGAGAAAAGAGAAAAGCAGACGAGAATCAATAAAAGGGTTATTGTAAAGCAATGAACTGTTCAAAATGGAACACCAGATTACTGCATATTAGATTCTACATTCCATTTTTAAGACCCCGCAATTTGCAATAATTGGCACTGACAAGCTCAGTTTTCTTTCTTGCTCTGACACATTTCAAACAAGCTTTTTTTTTTGTTAAAAAGCTTTAGTTTTTAGTTTTACACCACAGCCATGAACTAATGATTTGCTACTTGCTAAGTGTAGTAGGTGGTAAAAGGAGAGTCATCAGTATTTTATTTTTAAAACCTTATATTTTATGTGTAACAGCTAAAAGTTGTTTTTGTTGTTTGTTTTTTTTTGTTCTTTTTCAGACAAATTTTAGAAGGATTACCTCAGTGCTATGAAAAGTCACAATAATAATGGTAATATTTCATAATAGTAATATTTTATGGGTCTTCAAAAATAGTATGTGAAACAACATAGTATGCAATGAATGCAATGATAAACATGTCAAACAGTAGTAACCTGCTTCAGTGGTCACTGTTGTCATATTACACTCATTTATTAAAACAAATAAATATAATAATACTCCTTTTTAATAATTCAATGTTGTCAAATGACTACATTTTAGCAGCTCAATCAAATAATGAGCCACAAATAAAAAGTCCATTTATTTTTCTAAAAGGGGATATACAGTATATTGCATGCAGTGTACTCTACTTCAGTACTGCACATTCTGGCAAATACAGTGGCTCATTCATATATATATATATATATATATATATATATATTTTGTGTCGCATGCACATACTGCATTCAGACACAGACATATTATGAAAACATTTCCAGTCACAATTTTCATTACAATTAAGCTTTTTTTTTTTTTTAAACAAAACTACTTTACTAGCAAAATATTGTTTCTTTCTCATACTTTTTGAAAATGTCTGAAATATGATCTGGACATGTACTTGACCTGTCTTGTGAGATTCAACTGTGTAAAAAATAATGTTAATGTAACATGTTTTGGTTGTTATAAACTTCAATCAGTTTATTCCGGCTTAGAGCAGAGAAAGAACCACCATGGAACAATCACACTTTTGTGTGTGTGAGAGCGAGAGAGATGTAGGTGCTGAAATGAGTGCATCACGAAGCAGATTAGAGAACAATATCACCAGCTTCAGCAGACTTCTTACATAAACAGCATTTTTCCTGCCTTCAGCCTCACAAACATCATCTATTCAGAAACACAGCATCTTAGCTTCTGCTGCAATTCGTACAAAAATGAATCAAAAAGGTTCCGGATAAGATTCACCAGTTTCACTTTGCAGAAATATTTTTAAGGCAAGTTTGATGCTATCTTCAGCAATAGGAAACAAAAACACTGCAATAAACCCACCAAAAACTCTTGCACAAAGTAAACAAGTGAAAAATTCTAACTACACAGTTTTTGCAAATACAGTATTAAACTACAAGTTCCCAAGAAAGGATGTCTTACCCCAGTTAGACAGCACATGGAGGCAGCTCTGGCTGTCACTCTCTTTGCTGTCTCCTATCTGGTCTGGGCCCAACTTCACACGGTAACCATTCTGAAACAGGTCAGCACACGACTTTTTGCGCCGTCAGCTCTCTTGAACGGTTTCTGTGACCAGAGTGCCCCGTGGGCCCCGAAACACTAGCAACTTGCTGGAGATCATGATTCTGTGATCCTACTCCTTTATAAGTTCAGAAATGCAGAATGTGACGCGTCCTCAGAACTTAAAAGATGTGTAAACCTCAGATGTACTTGATCAAAAAAAAATCTAATTTGCTCAGAGAGAAAGAAACAAAGTTTCCCTAGGCATGAACGTCAGAATGCATCCAGAAGACTGTTTAACAATACTAAAAACCCTTCAAGCCTAGACAGTGACACCTGCCATTGGCTGAAAACCCTGACTGAAGCCACAATCTCTGACGTGTTTGGTCTGATCTTTTCAGTATTAAACTCCCACGCATGCATCTTTCCTTTGACCCCTTCTCTGTTTTAGTGAGTTGATTAGATTTTGTATACACTGAACCCTTCTAGGGATTTCAAATGGAAAAAAAACTATCCTGAATTAATCACAGGGCTTGTACTAGCAATGATGTTTTCTCATGCAGTTTTTTTTTAAACAGTACTGCCCACTGATAGCTGTGCCTGATATAAATGAAATCTCTGTCGATTTGACACTTATCGTCATACCACCCAGCCATATAAAACAATAATCACTTTTGCTTGCTTCATTTCGCTCATGTCCAGCAGTCGTCTATCTCAGAAATCGTTAACTGCTTTTGTTTGATTCCACAGACAAGTCCATATGTCACAGATGTTTGCTTCCGCTGAGATGGCAACAGTACAATTTCTTTTGTCATCTGTATTTTATTATTAGTACTAGAGCCCTGCACGGGCCTCAAATATAGACCCTAGCCCGGCCCTGGCCCGAGATGCTCAGGCCCTAGCCCGGCCCGTGTCCGACAGCTTATCAGAATTACCGGCCCGAGCCCGTCTTTTTTTTTCCCCCTTCTCCCAAAACTGCTAATACTACTGTTTCAGCTATTAAAATAGTTTAGTTTTGTATGTAATGTCAAAGTGATTATATTTCGTTTTGTTATTAAGTTAATTTAGAAAAAATGTTTGGAGCATTTTTTGTTTGTTAAATGTAAGTTTTAGTTTTTTAAAGTAACGACCAAGCGGCCAGCGGCAGACAGTGAGTTCATCATAGCCTATGTTTGATCAATTTAGCCTTCTCAAATCATCACGACTTGCCTAAAATAAAATATATAGATATAAAACAGTTCAAGCATATCACAATGTTAGTTTAAATGTTTAACCTATATAAATGTGCGCTATTAGATGCATATCTAATCGTTTGTGCGTAGAGCTAAAGCACGCTTTACAGGACATGGAGGCGTCGACGTGATCACTTGCATTGGAAACAACTTAAAATATGTCATTTTTGCTCATAAAGGTAAGAGTAATATATCACTCGGAACTGTAAAGGGTCTACTTTTATTTGTGTGCACTCACAATATCAACAAAACATTGTACTTTTATAAAATAAAGGATACAGGATGCGCTTTCTGCAATTTCGGCCAGGAGCGCTTCACAATGATGAACCGAAACTCAGTGAATACTTGCCTCACAGACTTGCTTAATATATCTATAGAAAGCTTTAAATGACTACTTTAAAACTAAATAATTAAAATCAAAAACAAAAATTATTTTTGTTATTATTTAGAGAAATATGCATTTCTCTCTAAAGGCACGTCCAATAAGGAGATGGCGAGTCAGGATCGTCATCTTCATCTTTGCGACACGGACTCAGAAAACACTAATTTATTAATAAATAATTCAAATATCTCATTATTCCCCTCGAAGCATTGGGAACTTTTAGTAACTCCCCACGCTCCAACTTCTCCCTGATGCCGTGCATGGTCAACTGTCACCTGTATGTTAATGCATGCGTATATGCGTTGCGTAGGCGATGTATAATATTTATAATATAATCAATATAGCAATATTTCATACAGTAGCCCATGTGTGCTCTGCGCGTATATAGCACAATAAAAGGAGACTGCACTGCACATGACCAATTGACTCGACTGTTTGCCATGGTAATCAAATCAAAACTCTTCCAAAATGCAGCTTTTCCCGAAGCATTGGGAACTTTTAGTAACTCCCCACTTCTCTGCATGGTAAACTGTCACCTGTATGCTAATTTGTGCGTATATGTGTTGCGTATTATGTAGGTGATGTATAATATTTATGATATAATCAATATAACAATATTTCATACAGTAGTGTGCTCTGCACGTATATGGCTACAATAAAAGGAGCGAAGCTAAGTGAGCCCGAGTCCGACCCGAGCCTGATCTGTAAAAAAAAAAAGAAAAAAAAGAAAAATGGCCCGAGTCCGGCCCGAATGGACTCAGCGTGTCGGGCTTGCAGACCTCTAATTAGTACTACAAAACAATTTACCCCCACTCTGGTGTAATGCATTAGGAAATTGCTTTGCCGGTCCATGGCAGTTCTGTGAGACTCCAGTGAGAAAGTTTCGCTTTTGGCGTTTCACACACCGCTCACTGATATCACGTGCAAGTGTCTGTATCTTAAAATTAATGCATTACAACTTTAATAAAATTTAAAATAATTCAGCCGGTAATTAGGCTATAATTTAGTTTTTTATTATTTTGTGCTGAAATTGCGAATTATGCAGGATCGCTAAAAAAATGCTTCAATTCAATTCAATTCAAGTTTATTTGTATAGCGCTTTTCACGATACAAATCCTTGCAAAGCAACTTTACAGAAAATGTAAGTTTCTACATTATAGAAATTGCTTTGCCGGTCCATGGCAGTTATGTGAGACTCCGGTGAGAAAGTTTCGCTTCACACCACACACTGATATCACATGGACGTACCTGTATCTTGAAATTAATGCATTACAACTTTATTAAAATGAGGTATAATTCAGTTAGTAATTATAATTTAGTTTTTTGTGAGACCTTAATTTTTGAGATTATTTTGTGGTGAAATGGCGAATTATGCAGGATCGCAAAAAAATGTGACTTTTTTTCCATTGGATGCAGCAATTGTGGAATCGCGAAAAACTGGAGGGACTGGCAATAATTGCTTTCTAAATTAAGTGCAGTAATCCTGCTGTTAAGCTCATATGTATTCACTGTACTTTAAAGGTGTCTTCCTGATATTTTCACGCTGTTTCTCTTTCCTGAGTTCTCTTGACAGTAAAACCAAAGATCTGCTCTAAAAACCTAGTGAACTGTCAGCTTAACAGCACTTTAAAGAGACAATTCACCCAAACAAAAATAAATAAATAAATACATGCAAATTCAGTTATCATTTACTCTCCTTCATGAATTTCCAAACCTGTATGAATTACTTTCTTCTGTGGCACACAATAGAAGGTATTCTGAAGATATATGATAATTAAAGAGTTTTGGTGACCATTAAAGTCCATAA